CGATCTCGGCTCACCGCAACCTCCGCCTCCTGGGTTCAGGCAATTCTCCTGCCTCAGCCTCCTGAGTAGCTGGGATTACAGGCACGCGCCACCATGCCCAGCCAATTTTTTGTAGTTTTTTGTAGAGATGGGGTTTCACCGTGTTGACCAGGATGGTCTTGATCTCTTGACCTCATGATCCACCCGCCTTGGCCTCCCAAAGTGCTGGGATACAGGCGTGAGCCACCGCACCCGGCCCACATTTATCATTTCTGATGTCAGCACAGGACACACAGCACCAACAGAGACTCATCCTTGCCTTATTAGAACAGCTACCAGGAAGAGGACTTGTGCAAAGGGCCCCCATCCCTGCTGTGAACAGTCTCCCTCCATTGTCTTATCCACTGGCTTTTTTAATCCTATACCAGACACTTTCATGAAAATGTTGATACAGCTGCCTCTGACCACAAATGTGAATCAATTTCCCTAGACTAAACAAAAACAGAATTGGGAATCAGAAATGTTTTCTCATCCCAGCTCAGTCACTACTAAATAGGTACTCTTCATCTATTTCCTTCTCTTCTCTAAGCCTCAGTTCCCTCATCTGTGCATTGACTGGGCTGGACAAGACGATCTTTAAGAACCTCCAGACTACCTTTAAGACTGTATGTTCCCAGGGACTTTGCACTCCTCCTTAGCATTTATGCCCACTGTAATTAAACAATTCCTGGTGCAACTAGTGAACATCTTATCACTCCTGCTGGACTGTGAGCTCCCTGAGGCCAGGGACTGTCTGCCTTGTTCCCAGTAATACTTGCAGCTTTGACTCGAGTGCTGAGCACGGAGTAGCACGCCATGTCTGCAGCACAGACACACAGCTGGTCCCTGGCATGCCCTCTGTCTGGGCTGGAGCTATGAGTGGACAGCAACCAGCCTTAGGCCTTCTCACCATGATAGGGCTTTTCTAATGGTGCTTGTTCTCTGGAGAACATTGTTTCTCTCCATGGTTCAGGTGGCCAATTAGTGTTAGATTTATCCACCCTTCCAGCCAACCCTGGAAAAATCTTTTGGATTTTCTGATAAATAGGAGGAGGTCAGCGGTGGTGGGGGGGGCAGTTGAAACTGTGTGTGTATTTGCATTCAAAATACCCTATTGCTCAATTGGAAGCATTTTCACAGGTCCTCTGACTTGGTGGCACAGAGAGACTAAGGCCTCCCTAGGGGCAGCTGAGTGCCCAGTGAGACTTAGCAACTCCAGCCACGGTTCTCCATCCTGCTCCCTAACTTCCCTGGCCTCACATCTCCCTAGCTCACATTCAGGTGAGCCCTGCATCTCACTTGAAGATGCCAGGCCTTTCTCCCTCAAGCCCATAGTGGGCAAGGATGTTGGGGTTCTTGCAGGAAGGAGGACGCCTGCAATGACCTCCACCAGGGCCTCCTACCCAGGGAATCCCAAAGCTCCTCCTTGGGGCCAAGAAGTGCATTTGGGCCTGTACTTACCATTCTGCAGCATCTCTTTCAACATTAAATCAGTGGCCACTGACCTTACAGTGTCAGTCATACGGCAGTGTCCACAGAAGGAAGAGACCTCCCTCCTTTAAAGATGTTTGCTTCCAGAAAATGAAATGAAGACATTCCTATGCCCTTCCTTCGTTTCTAGGACAATGGGTAATGTCAAATCCCCAGCAGGGCTGACAACCAAAGACTAAGAATAACGACGCATCAGTTGTTCCCCTCTGTTTCCTCTTCTCTCTCCTTCCAACTCAGGCCCCCACCACCCAGCCCCAGCGCTCAGTGTATCGCAGTCCCTCGATTCTTCTTGTCAGGTGGCGTTTAATGGCTTCTTCTCTACCCTGAAGGCAAGATTATACCCAGGGTGACCTCTCAGCTCCCAGACTGTTGGCCCTTTCTGAGTTCACTGTTCGAAACAACGCCTGGGAAATGCACGCATGGGATCCAGTGATGAGATGAGTGAGTTTTCGTACCAGCACTCTCACACCCTCTCAGCTCCTGCTGAGCCAGCCGGAAAAGTCAGCGAGGACTCTGCTTTCATGGGCATTGTTAATGAAAGTTTCGCTTGCTTCAGTTTGCAGAAAGTGGGGCATGGATCTGCGCTTCATTATGCAGTGTCCCGCGAGATGCCTCCCCAAGGCAGCTGGCTGGTTATTAACTAAGTGCAGCTAGCACTGTGTGTGCTTCGAGGCTGGCTGCTCTCATTCCAGCCTGGTGGTCTGAGGATAGGAGACAACAGTCCCTTAGCAGAAGTTTGTCAGAAGTGATGTGACTTAGTTTAGGGATCTGCAGGTGGGACTGACCTCTAAGACATTGGCGGGGCCATCCAATGATGTCCACAATATCACCCAGGTCTTCTGGGGCTGCAAAACAAATAGCTTTGCCGGCATTCACAAAGCCACCACTGTAAGGTGGAACCGCTGGTGTGGGGGAGGGGCTGAGTGCAGCCTGGAGGGAGACACCCTTATGCTCATGATGGGTAAGAGAACACCACGTGTTCACACGGCGCACCTCACCCTTCACTGGTCCCCGCTGCTGTGGAATGGAGTGTGAGCTCGCTTCCTGGGCTGCTTGGGCTTTTTTGGTCTAAGGAGGTGCAGCAAGCACTATTTTCCTAAATAGGACAGGACAGAATGCAGAGAAAAAAATGGAGAGGAATTCATCTCTCTGAGGAAAAGGAAATGTTCTCTGGTGGGCTCTCTGCAGAATTAGCACCCACCCGCCTTGGCCAGTAGCTGTTCCATCGTAGTCATCCTGCCTCGGATTTTCCCTCCAGCCAGTCCTCTCTGCTTTCACTCACTTCGCTTCCATCTTCCGGAAGATGTCTCTTCCATCTCACCAAATCTCCTCCGCCCATTAGGCAGGGTATTAGTCTATAAGGGTTACCAACAAATTATCAAAAACCAGGTGTCTTAAAGCAACAGATTTCTTCTCTCACAGTTCTGGAGGCCAGAAGTCCTAAATCAAGGTGACCGCCAGGCTGTGTCCCCACTGAAGGCTCCTGGAGAGAATCTGCTCCTCGCTTCTTCCGGCCCTGGTACCTCCAGGTGTGCCTTGGCTCGAGGCCGTAGCGCTCCAAGTCTGCCTCTGTCCTCACTTGGCCTTCTGTTCTCTGTGTCGCTCCTCTGTGTGCCTCTTTGAGAAGACACTTGTCACTGAATTGAGGGCCCACCCAGGTAACCCAGGATGATCTCATCTCAAGATCTGTAATTTCATTACCTCTGCAAAGACTGCTTTTTTCCAAATAAGGTCATATTCACCAGTTCTGGCAATTAGGACATGGGCCTATCTTTTTACCATTCACCCCTCTGCACATACTAATTCTCAACGCTCAGAATACATCAGCTCATCTAGGGAGATTTTTAAACACTCCAGATGTGTGGGCTTCACTCCAGAAATCTGTTTTCACATGATCCTGGATGGGAAATTAAATAAGCATTTTCTTTTCTTCAATTCCCCAGTTTCTCAAGTGCAGCCAGGATGGTGAGGCGGGGAGAGGACAGCCACATCTCCGGGACAGTACTTCACTGAAGAAGACATTATCAATAAATCACACCAGCTTGCACTGATCACTTTCCCCTCCAGGGTTTCTTTTTTCTGACTGAGTCATGAATCAGGCTGTCATCTATTGTTTTGCAAATGTTGCACAAAGAATGTCAGACGCTTTGGAGATCATTTAACCCAGTGACGCCCCACCCTAACCAATCAATGCCCCATTATTATAGCAAATACGTAGAAAAACCCTCTTTACCACCTGAAATAAAATTCCTAGAAAAGCCAGTCGACCCAAATGCATAATGTAGCCCTAATTGTAATAAAAGAAGAAAAAGGAAATGTGATAAAAATATTATATATATATATGGCACACTTGGCATGTCATCCTGTGCAGGAGCCATGCTAGTCTTCTCTGTATTATTCCAATTTTGGTATACTCGCTGCCAAAGTGAGCACAGAAATGCGATTCTTAGTAAAATAATATGTCTTTCAATACGAAAGTGCTCATGCACGACTGCACTGGAACACATAATGAAGTAGGTGCCTCCACCTACCTATCATGGATAAGTTTAGATTTAACAGCAGACAAATAGAAGCCACTTCATATAAGAAGTACAAGGAAATAAAAGAACAGAGGGATATAGGAGGACACTAGAAGAAAAAAGTGTTACAATGAGAAAGAAGAACCCCCCATTCCTGGCTGTACATGACAACAGGAAGAAGGAAATAACCTTCCCTGAGGTACACATAACAAGCCAGATCAAACTACAGATGTGCCAGAAGAGAAAACAAAGAAGCACAGGATCCTGTCTCATGAGCGCAGTCTTGCATGCAAGGGTAGCGTCATGATAATTTATTATGCTGTGACATGTGGCAGGATAGTGACAAAGCATCACAGAAAACATGTTTCCATTCTGGAAATCTCACCATGGGGAGGCATATATTCAGTCTTTAACATTTAAAAAAAAAAAAAAAAACAAGGCATCCAGGCATGGTGGCTCATGCCTGTAATCCCAGCACTTTGGGAGGCCGAGGCAGGCAGATCACTAGGTCAAGAGATCTAGACCATCGTGGCCAACATGGTGAAACCTCATCTTCACTAAAAATACCTCGTCTCCACTAAAAATACAAAAATTATCTGGGCATGGTGGTGCATGCCTGTAGTCCCTGCTACTCAGGAGGCTGAGGCAGGAGAATCATTTGAACCCCGGAGGCCGAGGTTGCAGTGAACCGAGATCACGCCACTGCACTCCAGCTTGATGACAGAGCAAGACTCTGTTTAAAAAAAAAAAAAAAAAAGCCTTTAAAATGACATCCTTTTAGTATAGGCAGTGAGAAGAGGAGGATGGATTGGGAAAAGTTGTTTGATAGATCTTGAAGGAGAAAGGAGAATATCAGAGTCACAGGGAAGAACAAAAGGCAACCCCAAACAACCATGATAGCTAATTTTCCCAAGAGATTTCTTATCATTGTACTACAAATATAAATATATGGGATGAGAATATTAATTACTTTTAAAGAAGCTTTTATAAACAAGTTTGGGGTGCCTCTGCTAATTTAAAATAGTATCCGGTTCTACATCTGTTAGATGCAATCTCAAATTTCCCGTTACAGACCTGCACATGGGCTCCGTGCTTTGCGGTAACTGCACATTGCACTGTGCCCTTTTCAGTTAAAGGTATATTTCGAAATGCTCTAATCTAGACAGAATGCATGAAACAGGGAAATTGTTTCATCATTTCAAGGTTTTTGTCTTTATTCTATTTAGGCTTCTCTTCCTAAAACAACCATTTCTTAAATCCTGGGCTTTTGACTTAACTTCTTTGAAAGTGTGTGAAGCATTGCTTTAGGGGCCAACACTGACCCCATTAGAAACACTCATCATACAAGGGTTGAAAAACCACCGGTTGCATACTATATTCATTATTTGAGTGATGGGTTAATTAGAAGCCCAAACCTCGGCATTATGCAATATACCCATGTAACAGACTTGCACATGTACCTCCTAAATCTAAAAATAAAAAAATAAGGAATACTGATCAAGCCTAACCTCATTCATTCCCATCATGAGGAAACAGGCCCCAGAGGGTAGGTCAACTGTAAATTTTGCTCCCCTTCCTGTCACTAAGTTCCTTGAGGACAAGGAGGGTATGGAATGTCGCTCTTGTGCCTGTGCACAGCTGCCAGCACAGAGAAGCACACATATCAATCTGTGGCCCTGGATGTGCCTGCTGTCTGTATTCCACCAGGGCTCTGGATTCTCCTTTTCAGCCTGAAAACAACTCGTTTCTAACTGCTCTTCCATAGGAAGCACAGGCAACAGATCCCCAGAAGTCACCTGGGACTGAGTTTCAACACTTTTGTTTTGCACAATTTCAGCACTCACACCAGCTGCAGCTGAAGACCATAGCATTTCAATGAAAAGCAACTGGCTCCCTCCCCACCCCCCCTGCCCATAGGCTGCTGTGGTTAGCACTGCACTCAGAGACAGAATAAATAAAAAGAAAAAGCCCCCGTTGTTCTAAGATAACCACAGAAATGACAGATGCTGTTGCATGCAAACTTGGGGGAGAAGAGAGATAAACAGCAACAATAAAAATCCAACAAAGCATGGTGACAAGAAGCCTGAGTGGGCAAGTCCTCTTGCTGAGGTGTGATGTCAGAGATCAGATGGAACGTGCCCTCTTGGTCCCACCCTCCCCTCACCCCTGAACTCTTCCTCTTCCAGCTGTTTGGGTTTAGAATTTCTTCAGCAGCGAAGAAGATTTTGCCCCACTGGAAGAACGCTAACTTCCAGGGTGAGTGCCCTTTGGGAGACCCCCAGCCCCAGCTTACAGGATGAACAAATGGCCAGGAATGAGAAAAGCTGAGATGGAGTGGTAAAGGGAGGGAGGTTTCCTTTGGCTCACCTTTCAACCCCAAGTGGGCTCCAGAGAGCTGCCAGCTGTGGCCATGTTCATCCTGGGGTGCGGGCAGAAGGATGGCTCAATACCTTAGCTCACAGCCACCACTTCCGGGCTCCACTTCCTTCCTTCATCAAGTAGTGTAAAATCATGAGGACCCACGACAGCTGGAAGCACCCACCTTGTCCATGGTTGCCATGGTGTATTTGTCTTTTTTATCACATTCTGGACACAACCCAACACATCCAAGTCACCAATACCACACACACCTGGTGGTACTGCAGCTTTCTGTTGACCTGTGTGAACTAGCCCTCAGGCACCAGGGTTCTCACTCACACTGAGCACGCGGCCTGCCATTCAGAAGTTGCTCAATACACGTTTTTGGACTGAAAGAGCAAAAAGGTCAGGGGAGCCAATTCCACTCTACAAAATGGGAAAAGCCATCAAGGAACAGCCGTCACGTTAGTTAGGTGACCACATACGTATTGTCACCCACCTTCTTTGCAGCGTGTCGCCATCTCACCCATTTTCAGAGCTGCCCTTATCTTTGCCATGACCATCATCACCATGGCATCCGTGACAACAGACTTAAAAGGTGAGAGGCGTCATTGTAAACCACACCTTTCTAAAAAAGACTTTGGAAGCAGCATGATAGATTGGCTAAAATGTCAGGTTGTAGAGACAGAAAAACCTGGGTTCAGATCCTAGTTCTGCCTACGAGTTATGAGTCTTGGTGAAGCCACTTCACTCTGCTACCATTCCCTTGTCTGGAAAAGGGAGATAGTGCTACCACTGTCTCAGGGTCGGGGGGTGGTGGCCTGCTGAAACAACCCATGCAGTCGAACAACGCTTCTGACTGTCTTGTATTTCATTTTTACGATCTCCATACAGCTACTCAGACAGTGCGCTAAAGCAAGAAGAGAGCAGAGCTCTTTCCCTTCCACTTTTCAGCTCCTGGGATGAAGGCCCGGACATAGCAAGGCAGGGGCTGCAAACTCAAGCATGCAGAAGAGTAACAGAAATGGGCCCAGTGGTCAGGGGCCGATGAAGCAGAATCGCTTTCATATCCAACCTGACCTCCCCCTCTGCTGGAAAAAGACGGCCTCCCTGGCTTTCAGTTTCCCCCTTGAAGATACATGAGTACGTGAGTGGTTTCCCTTCCTCCTTCATCTCCTGTGAGAGAAAGAGCACAGTGTTGCTAGATGGCAGTCAACACTCAAGCTGAACGCAAAAGGGTCAGCAAGATGTGATGGGGAAGACGCTGGGGGCAGGGCAGGGAGGTCTCTTTAAAGAAAGGCCGGGGGCGGTGGCTCACACCTGTAATCCCGGCACTTTGGGAGGCCAAGGCGGGTGGATCGCGAGGTCAAGAGGTCAAGACCATCCTGGCCAACATGGTGAAACCCCATCTCTACTAAAAATACAAAAATTAGCTGGGCGTTTGGCACGCCCCTGTAGTCCCAGCTACTCGGGAGGCTGAGGCGGAAGAATCACTTGAACCCAGGAGGCCGAGGTTGCAGCAGTGAGCCGAAACTGTGCCACTGTGCTCCAGCCTGGCAACAGAGCAAGACTCTGTCTCAAAAA